CGAGATGACACTGGAATATGGTAGTGGGATTTAAATTCTTACATAAAGGCTTATATATATATATATATATATATATATATATATATATATATATATATATATATATATATTATATATATATGTATATATATATGTATATATAATATAATATAAATATATATATATATATATATATATATATATATATATATACACATAAACACATATGTGTATATACACACCCACATATATACTTGCACATGTTCATGTAGTCTATGGGCGAGTGACGTCACAAGGGATGTGATTCATCTTCCGACGTGAGTAATGTGCAGGATGGAATGCTTTGACTCCTGTTTCTACCAGCATTCCTTGCCTTTTCTTTGTATCACTAAGAAACTATTTTTATTTGTTTATATTATTAATTTCTAAAGTCTAATATTTGCTATATTTTCCTATAAGTAAAGTATGTATGACAGTTTTTTCGTAGTATGGAATCCACAAATGATAATTATTCGCAAATAAAACATGGAGCTAGATGTATGATCGTGTTATAACCATAGTGTTTTTGTTGAATTTTCTTATTCATTCTTTTAGGTTATCATATAAACTATCCTAGTTTTCACTAGAGGTCTATAATATTACCTCATGAGCAAGATATAGTTTTCAATTTCTCTTCTCAGTGTAGTTTTATAAGTACATGATCACATATATGGAATACACATAGAAGTATTTTTTATTCCTGTTATAAGTAATTTATGGGAGTCGTATTTGTTCAATAACATTGGATCGAGTCCTGTAAAGAAGATTTCTTTCTTTTTCTTTTCTTTTTCCTTCTTTCTTCCTTTCAATTTTTCAAAGTAAGTTTCAGCATTTTCTGTTATATCAAGATTATTTTCTTCAGTATTCATTTCATATTGGTGTGTAAAGAAATAGTGTGGTATATGAGGATATAGAAAGTTTTTTTTATGTTTTGTATTTATTTACGAAAGTAAATATGAAATATACAATATATACAAGGTCGTGGCGTGATGAGGATCACCTAGACGTAGATGCGTTCAGAGTGTGATATTCCTCAAAGCTGAAAGTCCGACAGAGAGGAACACCACACCCTGAACACATCATCTTGGTCATCCTCCTCACGCCACGAGTGTAGCAAATTCTGCACCTTCGGTACTACCCGTGAGGTGTTGAAATCTGGCAGTGAATACCCTGAAGAGCCGGAGCTGGGGGCGGAGAACGGGAGCGGGACCGTGACCTGACCTCTCTACCACGGCGAGTCCCTAGCTACATGAGATCTGCAAGCTTCCTCCTGAAGGTCAGCTGAGTCATACGCCCTCCGAGCACCTTGTGCATTCTGAAGGCGTTGACGACTGCCATGTCAAAAGGGTTGAGCAAAACCTTTTTGTACCACTTGAGGGACTTGCGAGTGGTCGGGTACAATACAGCCAGCTGATCACTCGTATCGACCCCCTTCACCCCACTGTTGTAGTCTACGACTACTTGGGGTCTGAATCTGTCAAACACTCTGTGGGACCGGGTGACGACCATCTCGCTTCTGTGGACAGTCGACAGCATCGTAACTACACGCTTGTCGCGCCATTGCAGGCACAACATGCCTGTAGGCGTGCTGCGACTTTACCTGCAGATCAGTGGGCATGAACTTTCGGTTGAAATGTACTGTGCCAACTGCGTTCGTCTCCCTGCTCTGCAGGTAATGGAAAAGGGTTGGGGAGGTATACCAATTATCGGTATATAGTTCATACCCTTTATCAAATAAGCCCGCGGCGCCCATCAAGTTGACGACAACCCTCTGGGATGCGGGTATGTTGCCTTTGTCCTTGCCCGTGTAAATTCCGTAGGCCTTGGTTGCTGGATACCGTGGCGGACGGACGTGTTTTCACGCGCTCCGCAAATCCCTCCCCCTCCCCTCCCCTCCTCCACAAGCTAAGTGGAACACGGCTGACTCAACATACGTTTTTTAACCTTTTTATTTTTATTTTTTTAGTTAAACATAATTTATTATGTTCTTTTTTAGTCTCTTATCAGCCTTTTTAACCAATACTGACTTTTACACACCAACTCCTTCATGTTTACACACACGCCTGTTCCGCACAATGACCGGCTACTTGTCAGTTCGCTCCAGGCCAACAACACGATGACACGTTACCCGCTCCCGCACAAGAAAGGTAAGAGAAAACAATATTAGATGCCACGTACTGCTACACATTACCTTTCTTGCACTTACACTTACTCTCATCGTTCTCACACTTCATGCACAAATCCTTAAACACACGTAGACACCCATGAATCAACATCTAAACACACACAACGCAAACAAGCACTGACCCTTTCCACACCCTCCCAACCCTACGATACGCTAATAAACACTACAAGACAAATAAACACTCCAGGCACACCATCCTTCTCCTGCTACTCCTTTGCGGTGATACCGGCGCTAATGTTAACCCTGGCCCTTACCCCCCCAAGTACCCGTGCATGATCTGCACGAGGGCTGTTAAATGGGGCCAGAGGGCTATCCAGTGCGATAACTGCTGTGAGAGATCCGAGCATGCTGGCTGGTATCATGTCAGCTGCATCGGCTCCTTCACACAGTTATACGCTGGATTGGTTAACAATAGCGTTGCGTGGATCTGCGATGGATGCGGCTTACCTAACTTCTCAAGCTCGTTTTTCGCATCTTCTCCCATTACAGTCTCCAATTCCTTCAACTCACTCCATTCGCAAGACATAAACAGCATTCCCTTCCAACACACTCTTCCTCTTAACCCCACCCGCACACCACATACTCACCACTCTCGCCAACATACAAACAAGCACTCAACCCCAATAATGCCTCTCATCAGACTCCCATCCATAGCACTGAGTTCCATATCCCACTGTTCTAAACCTTCCATTGACTCCCGGACCTCTCACTCATTTCATGATTATCTCCTTACTCCAGCCTTACCTCACCCTTCCCTTCCCCTTTCTCTCTCGCCTCCCTTCTCCAACCCTTCCCCCCCCTTCACCTATTCCTCCCTCCTCCTCCCTTTCCTTTCCTCTGTCTTCTCCTTCCTCCTCCCTCTCTTCCCTTCCTTCTCCCACGTTCTCTCCTCCCCCCTCCTCTTCCTCTCCTTTTAACTCCTCTTCCTCTCCATCCCCTCCCCACTCCCCCCCCCCTACCTCCTCTTCCACCTCCTCCTTCTCCTCCTCTTCCACCTCCTCCACCACCACCACCTCTTCTTCTTCTTCCTCCTCCTCCTCCATACCTACCTCCCATAGACCACCCACTCACGATAACCCGACTACCCACCGCCTACTAAACATCAACTTCAGAAGCATTACCAACAAAATAGCCCAGCTTCATGAAATCCTCCATTCTTACATACCTGACATTTTAATAGCTACTGAGACATGGTTGACTTCTGACATTGACTCTACTGAAATTTCCCCCCACCCTTTAACATGACTGTAGTACGTAAAGACCGCTCGACTGACGCTGGCAGAGGCGGCGGTGTTCTCATCGCCACCAAACCAGAACTAACTGTTAAACCTAGACCTGACCTTGACACGGATTGTGAAATCGTCTGGATCCAACTCCAACTCTATAACTGTAAATCACTCCTCTCCACTTTCTACAGACCGCCTTCTACTGACACAGAATACCTACGGATTGTGAAATTGTCTGGATCCAACTCCAACTCTACAACTGTAAATCACTCCTCGCCGCTTTCTACAGACCGCCTTCTACTAACACAGAATACCTACAAAACCTTGAACTATCTCTAACACGCATTAACGCAGACAAAAACATATGGCTCACAGCCGATTTCAACCTCCCTGACATAGACTGGACTGCTCTGTCCCCTCACGATCCCCCACTCACCGACCTTGCGGCCCCAATCATTCCCCACACAAACAGACGCCAACTCTACGACACGTTCACGGACATCATAAATACTCACTCACTCTCGCAAACAGTACTCACTCCAACACGAACACAAATCATGACACAGATCTTTTCCTCACGAACAACGTTCTAGACATAACAAACACCAAGGTTATCCCAGGACTCAGTGACCATGACATCGTCCTCGTTGACGCAGACCTCAGACCAACCAGACAAAAACAGAGACGCAGACCAATTTTCCTCTTTTCTAGAGCTGACTCAGACGCAATCACACAGGACATCACCAACTTTAGCACAGACTACTTTTCCACTGATTCCCACTCAAGACCATTCACCTCCAATTGGGATAACCTTAAACTCGCCATACTTACATCCATGAACACACACATCCCACAGAAAACACCTTCAAGTAGACATACACTTCCCTGGTTCTCCAGGGAGCTACGTAGACAACATCGCAAAAAATAGCGACTCTACAGACGCGCGCAAACATACAATACACCAGAAAATTTGACTGCTTTCACAACTCACCAAAAAACATTTTCCAAGAACATAAAGAAAGCAGAACACGAACATATTTCTACCTACCTCGCAAACAACGTCAGAAATAACCCTTAACACTTCTTCAAATTCTTTAAGTCGCGCAGACAGGACACAACGGCGATCACAACCTTGAAAGACTCCAACAACACTCTTGTAACTGACCCAGAACTCAAATCACAATTACTCAACACACACTTCCAGTCTGTTTTCACACACGAAGACGATAATACACCTAACATTCCAGATAGACCGTATCCCCCAATCCCGCCGCTTGACATCACGACTATCGGCATACTGAACCTATTGACTACTCTTGACACAAACAAAGCCACTGGACCAGATCTGATCCCTGCCTTAATCCTCAAGTCCTGTGCCCCTGTCCTTGCCCCCATCCTTCAATCTATCTTTTCCCAGTCACTCGCCTCATTCACCCTACTAACTTACTGGCTTTGTGCAAATATCACCCCCCTCTTCAAGACAGGCGAGAACTGACCCGACGAATTATTGCCCCATCTCTCTCACATCGTTCGTCTGCAAAATTTTTGAACACATAATACATGAACACATAATGAATCACATTAATACCCACAACATCCTTACAGACTCACAACATGGTTTTCGGCCCAGACGATCATGTGAGACCCAACTAATCACTACACATCACGACATTGTACGACAACTAGACAGACGTGAGACCAAACAAGTTGACGCCATACTACTTGACTTTGCCAAAGCCTTTGACAAAGTTCCCCATAAAAGACTGACTCTTAAATTACGACATTATGGGATCACAGGACCAATACTTCACTGGATCACTGCTTTCTTGACGTGTAGGACCCAACGTGTCTTACTCGACGGAGTATTTTCTGACCCTGTCCCTGTCTCTTCTGGTGTCCCACAAGGCACCGTTCTTGGCCCCCTTCTTTTCCTTCTGTACATTAATGACCTTCCACTTTCGACTCCTAATTTATTAACACGCTTGAACAGTGGGAAAGACTATCGCAAATGTCCTTTAGACCTGATAAATGCAAAGTTCTCCATTTCACAAGATCCCACACACCTATCCACTACACCTACACCTTACACAACCGTCCCTTAACAACTCACAAATACCTCGGTATTCATCTTTCCAACAATCTCACCTTTAACACACACTGACTTCATCATTAACAAAGACAAAAAAACACTGGGGTTTCTGAGGAGGAACCTACACAACTGTACCCCGGACATTAAACACAGCTTACGACACACTTGTACGTCCAACACTAGAGTACTATATGGCTGTATGAGACCCCTACACTAAACACAACATTGAGAAACTCGAGCAGGTTAATACTAGGACTGCCAGGTTTATTACTTGCAATTACTCGCATACTCCTGGTATTACATCTCACATAAAAAAAAAACAGATTAACATGGACCTGCTCGAGACACGAAGACAAGCACACAGACTTACAATCATCTACAAAATCACAAACAACCTTGTAGACATCACCAATTATGAATACTTACACGCAGCACACTCACGCAACACAAGGAACTCACACACCAGTAAATTTGTCACATGCCACACCAACACTAACTCTTACACTCATTCTTTCCACATACTATACGCGCCTGGAACAGGCTTCCACAACACATAATCGAAGCTGAAACACTTAACGCTTTCACAAACTAAATAAACACTTATCAATACAAATGCCTTCACAAACACCAACACTTCTGCTTGCACCTTGATCCTTCTCCCTTCCCCCAGCAACCAATCACTACTAATATGCGTGTTATGCGCTCATTTAGCGCCCTACGCATTGACATTGAGATTGAGACATGTGTAGACGATGCTCGGGCCTTCACTGACCGCGAGCTGATAGACCTTCACCCTGAAGCGCGAGTGTAATCCTCTTGGGAGGAGTATAGACCGACGAGAACTGACGCTGGAGAATTCCGATCACAGGCCGTAACTTCCACAGGCGCCACGTGGAGGTAACGGCTCAGTTGATCGAAACGATCCCTCGTCATAGTCCTCGTGAACAAGGGCATGCAGTAGAAAAGATCGGCCGACCAGTAACTTCTCTGCTCGGGCTTATGATTCACCCCCATGGCCATCCTTAGGCCGCTGAAGATCCTAGGCTCCGAGGCAGAGGTGGTTACCCAGTCCTTTATATGAGAAGAACTGGGCGCTGGATTTTGACAATGAAACCTGGAAAGATAGAAATACAAAAGTTAGTCATTGTACACAAACTAATCATATATTCACATAAAATGAATATATATATTTAATTTAGCAAAAATATGTAAATGAAACTAAAAAGAATTATGTGAACTTACTGGTTTGTCTCACGGACGAGCACATCCATAAGTTCGTCGGTGACGAACAAGGTGAATAGCTCCAAGGGGCTGGAATCAGAGTCCAT